CTAGGTCCACTCATGTTGTTTGCCTGTGGCTGGGAAAACAAGGCTTTGGGTGAACTGGATGAATTTCCCATGATGCATTTCTCGTTCTCTCAGCGATGGGCATTATGCTTGTTGCTGGGTTTTTGCTTTTGCGAAACACAATGTTGAACATTTGAGTGTATGTTTCCTGGGCCAATGAGCAAGGGTTTCTCATGGATATCCATCTGGGAGAGAAAGGGCTACATCCTGTGGTACATGGAGGTTCAATGTTGTGATTCATGTTGGTCTATTTTCCAAAGCGGTTGCCCCAATGGACATGGTCAACAGCAGTCTTCCAGAGCCCTATTGGTTGACAGTCTCTCCAACACTTAGTGTTGTTGGATGTTTTAAATTTGAGGCTAATGAAATGAGGTAAAATGGGACCTCTTTGTGGTCTTCTCATGCATGACCTTGATTCCTGATGTCTAGTAGCACAAAATGGGGTGATTTTCAACAACAGAATTGCCTTTTCTCACAGCTCTAGAGGCTAGAAATCTGAAATTAAGGTGTCAGCAGATTTATCAGCACCCTAGCTTCTTCTGGTGACTCCAGTAGCCTTCCTCTCTCTCCTTTTCTCTGTGGTGTCTCTTATCCTCTTTTACAGAGACACCCAGCTGTATAGGATTAGGACCCACCTCAGGTTAGTCTAATTGATAACATCTTCAAAGACCTTATTTCCAAACAGGGTCAAGTTCATAGATACAGAAGTTAGGACCTCAGCATATCTTTTTTTTTTTTTTTTTTAATTTTTCATTGTGAATTGAGTGAAGGTTAACAGACAAGACCATCTGCTTTACTTTCAACCAATCATGCGTTTTGTTTCATCTCAATGATTACACACTCCCCTCCCTGCAACAACATTTATCCTGCTTCTTCCCTGTGGCTTCCCTTTTGCATCTTATTTTTCACAAATGAACAAAGCAAAAATATTTGATGTACACATACACAATGTAAAAATATTTAAATGTCCAAAGGGCACATTTTGCAAGCCAGCCTCCTGCCCACAGGTACACAGCCTTTCTCAGTCTGTGGATCTAATATCCGCAGCTGCTCTCTCTCTCCACACCATTACCTCTGCCACCGTCTCTGCTGTCTCCGCTTTTCTAGGTAGGATCTCCCGTTCCACTCATGCTCTTCCTTCTTGATGATCCTGGGATCCTCTGTTCCTGAAATGAAAGATGAACTACTCCCCCCTTTTAATCACACATCTTCTACAATTATAGTTGTGACTATCTCAATATATCTAAGGCACAACCTATCACAGTGCCTGTTTGTGCCTTTTGCACATTTTATTGGCATGTTATTCTTTTTACAAGGCTGTATTGCATTCTATCAGAGAGCTAGACAATTACTGACAGTAAGCATTATCGACAGAGACAAAAATTGGTTCTTGGGGTGTAGTTGAGAGTGTGAGGAAGAACTACCTGGTCCTCATGATTGGTTGTAACCCAAAGGGTTTTCAGTGACTGATTTTCAGAACTTGTTCGCCAGGCCTTTCTTCCTAATCTGTCTCAGTCTGGAAGTTCCAAAATCTGTTCAGCTTTATAGCTACACGGAAACTTCCACTAACAGATGGATGGTGGGTAAGAATAAAGTGCCCTGGCCAAGAATACAACTAGGGTCTCCTACATGAAAAGTGATCATTTAGAAAGTGAATCAACACTACCTGCTTAGAATTAAACTCCTGAAAGTTGGACAGATCTGAACTTGCCCAAGGCTTCCACTGTGCCCTGCTATAAGCTGCTTACCCAATTCATACACACACTCACCTCCAAACAATGTATGGAAATGCCTGTTTCACCACATCCTTACCAGCACTGAGTATTATCAATTTAAAAATCTTCACTCACTTCATTAGTGCCAAATCATGGTATGTTCTTTCCAGATGTGTGGTCACCTTTCTTTGGTCCCTGTAAGACCAGATTTTTTAAAAAATATGGTTGTTAATTAATCTGCCTCTTGGGAATGTTTTAGAATAAGAGGGCTGCAGGCAGTCACATTGGGAAGGAAAGAGGATCTATAATGGCTAAAATGAACTAACTGACTTGTGTCTTACTGTTATGTGGAGAGTAAAATGTATAAGCAATGAATTTGATATTTTAACTGTTGAAGGGTAGGCTGTTTTCTTCTGACTTACGGCGACCCCAAGTGTGCAGAGCAGAACTGCCCCACAGGGTCTTCAAAACTGCCATCTTTCAGAAGCAGATCACCAGGCATTTCTTCCAAAGTGCCTCTGGGTGAGTTTGAACCAATAACGTTTCAGCTAGTAGTCCAGCACTTAACCGTTTCTGCCATGCAGGGCCTCCAGATGACAAAAGATGTTTAAACCAGGAACTTCATGGTCGGGAAGGCGGTCCTGTTTACAGTTGGTTATCTTGGGCAAGTGTCTAAACCTCTCTGAGACTCCTGTGTATTAAGGAATGAAGGTGATAACATGGCACAAGGCTGCCATGAGGGGTAGGGAAGTTGGCTCATGCAAAGTGCTTAATACTGGCTCTGGTACAGTGACCACTACTGTGTCCAGCAGGCCCAGGCCACTGAGTTCTGTTGGGAAAGAGCCTTGACCTTAGAGCTCTCTGTTCTCAATGTGCAACCAACTCCCTTCTGGTTGGAAAGGGTGAAGACCAATGGGAAACTGTTGGGTTGTTGTTGTTGTTGCTAGGTACGCACAGCAGAAGGAAACAGAACTGTTGAGTGGAGAACCCTAAACTTAATCCTGGGTTCAGCTGCCTCTTTGCCCTCCATTCCAGCCTGGCTCCTACCAATTTATCCCTCCCCTTCCCTGTCTCCCTGGTACATAATTCCCAAAGGCAAGGGAGGGGCTGAGGATTCCAACTGGGGGATTAGGTGTGGAAGTAGATTAGAGATGGGCTGAGAGAGGAGGAGGAAGGTCTCTAACCCATTTAACCCTTCCATCACCTGAGCCAGAGAACCTACCCACTTCCTTTGGCATCAGGTTGGGGGGAAGGAGGGAGACTTCCAGGACCTCTCCCCTTCCCCGCTCCCCACAATAGAAAAAGTGAGAAAGGATTAAGGTTAGACTCCTGGGGAAAGCACTTCATTTGCTCATTGACCTCAGGGAAGCGAGGGTCCCTTCTCTGAGCCTCAGTTTTCTCACATAATGAATGGGTAGAAGCATGTGCCAATCAAATGAATAACTGTGATGTGTGTGTGACATAAACCAAGATAAACAAATCAAACCTGTTGCGGTTGAGTGGATTTGGACTGATAGAAGTCGCATGTGTTACAGAGTAGAACTGACCTCCATAGCACTGACTTGCCTACCAGCTTTGCAGAAGCAGGTCACCAGACCTTTCTTCTGCAGTGCCCCTCGTGGTTTAACATTTCAGTGGTGGCCTTTTTGGTCACCATGCATATGTTGTTGTTTAAATGCCATCGAGTCAGTTCCGACTCATGGCGACCCTGTATAGGGTTTTCAAGGAACAGCTGGTGGGTTTGAATGGCTAACCTTGCGGTTAGCAGTCCAGTGCTTATCCTTCAGCATCACGTGTGTAGCCAGTATTTATCAAATACCTACTACGTAGGCGGGACCCAGTATCCCACCTAGATCCACAGAATCATCCTCTTGAAGGAAGCCCCACACTGACTCACTCGGCACTGCCGGGGACAAGAGGTCCAGGACCTGATCCTCCGTCTAGGCGCTGCCTCCCACCCTAAACCCTGGCGTCCTCCCTGGGAGAGAAAAAAGCCGCTTCCCTAAAGGGACCCCAGAGTCCCGGTGAGGGGCGATGGGTACTCTGGAGTTGTGAGGGTGCAGGCAGAGAGAGAGAGACAGAAAGGACGAGGACAGCATCCCCCTCAACCTACCAGGCCCTGCCAAGCTTTCTCTACACAGACCCCCACCGTCCTCATCTCTACACCGACCCTCCCCCAACTACACCCGACGCAAACGTGGGGGGGAGGGAAGGGGGGCGGTGCCTACTCTGCGGCTGCCGGAGGAGGGGGGACTGCGGAGAGCACTTGGGGGAGGGCGCTGCGGCACCGCGTCCCAGCCCGCAGAGGCCCGCTCCGAGGGGGCGGGGGCGCTGACCCGAGTGGCCCGGCCCTTCCCCCCCGCTGCAGAGGTGCAGCCATTAATCCGGACGGGGGAGGGGGCGCTGCCTCCCCACTACGCGCGCTCCCCACCCCCGCCTGGAATCCCCCCCGCGGGACCCCCGCGGGACCCGCCCCCCAGGTCTGTCACTCTGAATGTCCGAGTCTCTGTCTGTGTCCCTTTCTCCTCGTTGTTCGTGTGTGACTGTGTGGACTCTTGGGACACCTGTTCCCAAGGGCCCAACGCCTGGGGAGGTGACCTGAGGGAGGGAGCCCAGGGGTCAGGGTGTGGGGCTCAGTTCGTCTAAGTGTGAGGGTGGCAAGGTCAGGTGGGGAACATGTGGGTCCCCGAGTGCCTGGATGGTCCCCGCAACCAAGAGTGGGCGTCCGTGTCTGTGGCATCCTGCAGGCAAGGACGGTGGGCTCCTCTGTGCCAGTCTGTGTCTGTGTGTCTGTCCATGACTCCCCCGGGTCTTTGCGCATCGGTGGGCCTTATGTGCTCGCAGGAAGGCCAGGCCCACGAATGGCCCCGAGTCTGCGTGTGTCTGTACACGAGTGTGCGCGCGTGTGCCCCGAGTGTGTGTGTGCGCGCGTGTGCCCCGTGTGTGTGTGTGTGTGAGAGAGACAGCGCGCGCGCGTCGCGCCGGAGGAGGACCGGCTCCCTCCTCAGTGAGCCCGCCTGGGCCCTGCGCCCCGCCGCTGCCGGGCCTCCCTGGCGCGGGCCGGGCGGGGGATGGA